ACCTTTATAAGTAGGATTAAAACATTTTCTAATATAATGCACAAACGCAGGGTCAGAAGGAAAACTATAGGGTGAGCACATAAAAGTTACCATTTTTGCCAATTCTTCCCGATCTTTTTTTGGATCATAATATAAAATACCACCGATAACAGTGTTAATTCCCGGTTGAAATTGATTTGAACCGGTACTAGGGTCAGCCTAACAAATAGTAGGTACACTTTTCTCCTCGGCCAGAGCTTTCAGACATTGATATCTGACGTTATCTTTAGGATGTTTTTTTATATGTCTAGCCAAAGATCCCGTCCCCGACCGCGATCCAGTATATTTAAAAGCTAACTTCATACCAAAAGTTTTACACTTAGCCTTATTTTTTAGAACTAGTTGAGTAAAAAATGGCCAAACAGGAAATGTTTCCCGCCGTTTGGTAGGTTCTCTAGAAAAAGTAAGGGCAGTAACGGAAGATTGTAGAAGACTGCTATAATTTTTTACTTTATCAAAAAAAATAGTAAAAGAATTGTGAGGTTGCTACTATAACTTATTTTATTCCAAAAAATAGTCAAAAAATATTGAGTGTTACAATTTGTGAAAAAATTGTGAAGTTGGTAAATTGAAGTATTCGACGATAATCAATTTTCAACAAGTTGTTCGTCAATTTGGTAAACTCGTTCCAACTCTTAAGTCTTAATATTATAGTTTTGTTTGTTTTATTTATTTGTTATTGCTTAATTTATTAAGATGTCTTCCTTAAGAAATATTTTTGGTAAAAATAAGAATAAGGGAAAATTCAAGACTGGCGAATTTAGTGGTACTATTGTTCCTCCTCCCCTGCCCCCGGCACCCCGAACCAAACCTCATACCCGTCCTACACCTGCTATTCTTGATACCGATAATAGTTTATTAAAATTTAGCGACACTGAATTTTGCCACAATATTGCACCTGGTAAACATTTAGACCATGAATTAATGAATGCTCTCTATTCTAATAATTATAATACTATTGATGAAAATGATGATGAGAAAATTGATATTGATGAAACTCAACCGGACGATGATACACCCACTAGTCCTGCTCCTGATTTTGACCCAACTAGTGATTACACTGCTAATCCAAATAATGACCCATCTGATACTCCCGTTACTCCCCCTTCTAGAGAACCTACCAAACGGCAGGAAACATTATCTGTTTGGCCATTTTTTACTCAACTAGTTCCAAAAAATAAGGCTAAGTGTAAAACTTGTGGTATGGAGTTAGCTTTTAAATATACTGGATCGCGATCGGGGACGGGATCTTTAGCTAGACATATAAAAAAACATCCTAAAGATAACGTCAGATATCAATGTCTGAAAGCTCTGGCCAAGGAGAAAAGTGTACCTACTCTTAGCAGGCTGACCCTAGTACCGGTTCAAATCAATTTCAACCGGGAATTAACACTGTTATCGGTGGTATTTTATATTGTGATCCAAAAAAAGATTGGGAAGAATTGGCAAAAATGATAACTTTTATGTGCTTACCCTATAGTTTTCCTTCTGACCCTGCGTTTGTGCATTATATTAGAAAATGTTTTAATCCTACTTATAAAGGTTTTCCTTGCACAACTGTAAAGAGCGATATTTATAAATATAAGCATGAATATGAACAATATTTGCGCTATTTATTTACTCATATAAATTGTCGTGTTGTTATTACAACTGATATTGGTAGAAGTAACAACGGCTGTGATTACCTTACTGTTACATGTCATTGGATTGATGAAAATTGGATAATCAAAAGCGCATAATTGCTTATAGAATAATTGCTTCACGTCACACAGGGCAGTTTATTGCTAGCACAGTTACGGATATTTGCACATTATTCTTGCATTAGTGATAAAATAATGTCGGTTTCAATGGATAATGCTACAAATAACACAAATGTTATAGACTTGCTTACCACTACGCTAAATCCTGCATTTAGTAACATTTTTCATGTTAGATGTATTTGTCATATTTACCATTTAATTGGTATGAGAATTTTAAATATTCAAATTAAAAAGGTTAAAATGGCTCTTACCTGGCTTTTTCATTCAAACCGTAGAAGTAGATTTATAAAATATTTTAAAAGATGCGATGATTGTGGCCTAAGAGAAAGAAAGATTCATAAACCTTGTCCAACTAGATGGAATTACATGTATGAAAGTTTGGTTGTTGCATATGAATATAGAAACCCCAGAAACTCAACGTTTAATGCATATGTAAGTGATGATTACCTTACGAATGGGGATTGAGCTAATGTTAAAATGCTTGTTGATTTTTTAGAAAAATTTCATATTGCTACAAAAGAATTTTCTGGGCAATATTATCCTGCTATTTCTAACTGTTTAGTTTATATTGCAGAACTTGCAAATTTGTTTGCTCATTTTTCTTAGGGTGGAGAAATTTATCAACTTGCTATTGATTCTATGAGAAAAAAGATTTAAAAATATTTTTTCCCTATTACCCCTATTTATGGTGTTGCTTCTTTGTTAAATCCTTGTATGAAATTAGGAGATCCTCAATTTTGGTATGAAACTGTTTATAATGGTTTAGCACTTTAAGATGATAGGTTGCCTAAACTTCCAGAAGCAATAGCCTCAATTAGAACAAATGCTGAAACTATTTATAATGCTTATCAAGTTGCATTAAATCAATGCTAGACCAAATATTCCAACTTTTTCTTCTTCTGATTCTCAATCTTCTAAAAGAACTGCGGGAGTAAGAGGACTTAGTGTTTGGGCGGGGTTTAGGGGTTCTATTGGTTCTAGTAGTAATGATTTTTCACAACTAAATGATCTTGAAGTTTATTTGTCGCAGCAACTTGAGGAAATGATCCCGACGGCACCTTTAATATTTTGCAATGGTGGAAGGACAAAGAAAAACACTTTCCGGTTCTTTCAAGGATGACCCGAGACATTTTAACTATTCAAGCTTCAAATGTGGCATCGGAGAGCGCTTTCAATCAAGCAAGACTTCAAATCGGTGATTATAGAGCGTCTATGAGGAAGAGCTTGGAAAAATCAGTACTTTTAAGAGATTGGATCTTTACGGAAAGAAGAAATTTTGGACTTGCTGAATCACAACCAGAGGTAGACGAAGCTTTCGAAGAAATGCTAGTTGAACTTGCTGAGGATGCTGCTTCGCCCGATAATGGAAGCGGCAATGACCAAGCTACTTTTCCCCCACCACCAACTGAAATTCCTCCGAATTTTGAAGGATTTATGAAGTTTGTAAGAGATAGCATGTAACTTGTATGAACAAAAATTAGTATGTATTATGTAATTTATATTTTGGCACATCTTGATTATTTCCTTTTTCTTCTCAATTATGGTATTAGCACCTTGTTGTGCTCATTCCATAGGGGGGAATAAGACTAAGAAAGATATTGCCCTATTTTTTATTGCTATAATAAAATTACAAGGCATTGCTTTGAATATCTTTTTATAATATTTTTGTCTTTAAATTTGAATTAAAAAATTAAGTCACAATTCTATAATAAATTTACAAGGCATTGCCTTAGATATTTTTTTAACATCTTTTTGTCTTTAATTTCTATTTAATTTTTAAAAAAATTACTGCTTAGCCGTTGGGCCCGTTTAGCCGTTGGGACCGTGGGCCCAGCCCGTTTAGCCCGGGACCATGAGTTCGTGGGCCCGATCCCGGGCCGGTTCCACCAAAAAGCACGTTTAGACCGGGACCATTTAGCCCGTTTATTTAAGGACCGGGACCGCGGCCCACGAGACCGGCCCGTTTAGGGCCCGGCCCGACCCACTTGCCACCCGTAGTCCAACTAGATAAATGCAGAAGGCATTTAGCTTTTAGGGTGTAGTTAGGAGTTGATAGTCCATCAAAGCATCTTCTATTTCTTTCATTCCATATGCTCCAACAAATACCAGCAAGTATCATTTTCCAAATATTCTTGATGGCCTTATCCTAAAACTCTTAGATCTCTAAAGTGTTTCTCCATAGTTTAAGCTTTTGGTTGACACTTTAGCTAGTTTCGTTAATTAGCACAATATCATCAACAAATAGCATACACAATGTGACCTCGTCTTTTATTGTATAGATTCGCTCATCCAAAAACAAGAAGAGCTCAATGTCGACCCCTGATATGAACCCACGACTACAAAAACTCCTTTGTGTTTCCTACTACTGTGCTAACATTAGTAGTGGCTCCTTCATACATATTCTTTATGGCATTTATATATTTAACATGAATTCTTTTCTTCTCCAACACCCACCAACGGACCTTTCTTAGTACTTTATCATATGCTTTCCCCAAGTCAATGAATACACGTGTAGACCTTTCTTCCCCTCACTATAAATTTTCATCAATCTTCTTAGCAAGAATATAACTCTGTCGTAGATTCATTGGGCATAAATTCATACTGGTTGTCAATCACTCTAGTAGTGTCCCTAAGTCTACGCTCTATCACTCTTTTCTAGAGTTTTATCGTATGACTCATAAGTTTACTGTCACGATGGTTCACACAACTTTGAATATCTTCGTTGTTCTTATAATTGGAATCAGGGGTACTGGTTCTCCACTCGTCGGACATCCTGTCACTTCGTAGAATAGCTTGGTAAGCCATTCTACTCTAAACTTTCCGAACACTTCCAAACCTCTAAGGGGATGCCATCTGGACCACAGGCTTTCTAATCTCCATATTGTTCATGGCATCCTTTTCCTCTGCCGACTTAATTCTGCAAGTATAGCTAAAGTGTCTATTGTGAACAAATGTATAAATCCAATTAGCAAACAAGTCATTCACATAGTTTTTTTTTAAAGAAAAGGAAAGCTAACACGGATTAAATTTAATTGACTAATGAATGAAGGTCTTGACCAAATTTGAGCTCTTTTAGAGGCCATTACGATAGGAGTTGCGATTTTGTAGGGGAAATGAAAAGGATCACGATTAAAAGTTGACTCCATTTGAGTAGAGCTTTAATATCTATGCTTAGTTGTTTACCTTAAAAAGTTATTAAAGTGAACAAAGACATTTCAATCCAGTTGATACAGTAAAATTACAAGCCTAGAAAATGACAAGCAAATTCGATTCTGCAAAATAAGCTATCGAAAATTCAAAAATCTCATGTTATACCATGTTAATAAGCAAACAAACAAGCAACTTGTCAAGTGTCATCAACAAATACACAACACAAATATAATACCTTCGGTGGCTTAAATGGATAGTCAGGTGGAAAATGAATGGTAACAAGAAACACTCCGCCAGCATAAGGGCTGTCAGGTGGACCCATTATTGTTGCTTGCCAATGAAACATGTCTTCAGCAACTGGGCCTAATATGGATAACATAAGCAAGCACGGCGAATCAGAGAACAACTTGCCACATGATGACATTTAATCAAGTGTCTGAAAAAATGGGTGTACTACAAACAGATCCTCAGCAACTCATGATACGAACAACAGATGTAAGAACACATAAAGAATCAGAAAACAACTTAATAGATGCAGACTGTAAACAAGTCTCAAGCATGAGATTGGATATGATAGGCTGTCACCTCTACCATATGCAGGTTATTTACAAGTTCCGGCCCCCCACCCCGGAACAGGTCGTTAGGATCAATTTATGTTTGTGCAGTGCAAAGGACCTAAAAAAACCTTCAACTTTATGCACTTTCCCAAGTTAGTAATGTAAAAATGTCAGCCATCTAATCATGTAGTTGAGCAACTAAAATGATAATTTTGGCATGCATCAGCAGCAAAAACTAGTAAAAGCAAGTAAAAAAAGTTTCGCAAATACATAATCATTAATAAAGGCAGCAAGAAAATTGAAGATCAAAAAGCGGAATTTGAAGTAAAATGAAAAAGAAAAGGGTTTGAAATATCACCAGCGCTGCAAGAGGTAGGAGGATCTTTCTGGAGATCCTTGAGCTCTTTGAGAATCCGTTTGGATGCCATGATTCACCAAATCCCTAACAAAAATCCCTAGATCAGCTCCAAATGCACAAATATATACATACATACACATACATATAGGGAAAAAATTAGAGCACAACTGAAGAAGAGAAAGAGGATAAACTTTACCTCAGAGATCCTCCTACACGTTGCAATTCAGATTCTGGACGGGACCGAGGAGAAAGCGAGAATTTTACAGTGAAATAAGGACTCCGTTTTTATAGGCGGAAGACGAATACGGATACACCCACTATGTCGTGATAGTGTACCGTTGGTCCGTTACGTATCTTTGTTAGGTATTTTCAGCTACACCCCAGTACTTTGAAGATGTTGCAATTGGATCCCTTCACTCTAAAGGGGTGGGTGTTCGGGCACTCAGATTTGGATTTTTGATTTTTGGGGTGAAGAAATCTGATTTTTTAAATTCAGTTTCGAATTAATCGGTTTGGACATTTCGAATATTTGATATTGAGCTTATAAGTTTATATGTTTCTTCTTCTTATAAAAATAAACATCTAAATGAAATATTCATATTAAATTGTCTATAAAATTTCTTAGTCTAACTGTAATCGTCCAAATAAAATATGCAAATAATGAAATCATCATAAAAAAAAAATGCAACAAAGGTATTAATAAGAGAAATTTTCAGAAACCACTATTGTTTAGTGGTTATTAACTTCCTATAGCTATCATATACATAATTACTTCTTATAACTACTATTCAGTTGTTATGGTAGTATATTCGTTGTATTCGCGCTGCTATATTCATGAATACAGTAGCAAAAAGCCCCTAAAATCATGGCAGTCCAATTGTATGTGCATGTATTCACGTGTATTCGCGCTATGTATTCATGAATACAGTAACGACGATCACCTTAAAAATAGGTATGTCCAGCTGTCTAATAACGGAAATAATACCAATTAGCGTGATACACTCATAATATAACTCAACAAAATCAATTCTAACATGTCTCATTATCAACCCAATTAATTAGAATAATTTTCAGTTGTATATAACTTTTGTATTTAGTGTGTATCAATTTTTTTTTACTGTTGCATTCATTAAATTCAATGTTTGTATTTACTATATTCGCTATTTTATATTCAGTGTATTCAATGTATTTGTATTAACTGTATTTTAGTTATTCCTAATACATGTTATTACTGCTGTATTCAGTATATTTTATTGGTTGTATTCACTGTATTTGTATTTGTATTAAGTATATTTTACTGTATTTCACTGTATTTTAAAATTAAATATATTCACTGTTTATATTCTGTTCTATTTTATTATTTATATTCAGTGTATTCAATGTATTTGTATTAACTGTATTTTAGTTATTCCTAATACATGTTATTACTGCTGTATTCAGTATATTTTATTGGTTGTATTCACTGTATTTGTATTTGTATTAAGTATATTTTACTGTATTTCACTGTATTTTAAAATTAAATATATTCACTGTTTATATTCTGTTCTATTTTATTATTTATATTCAGTGTATTTTAATATTTATATCTTGTATTCATGCATGAATAAAGGTGTATTCAGTTGTATTAAAAAAATACAAACCTTTGAAATATATAAATACATGCAAAAAATAGTGTATTTATACAAAAATATAATGTATTTGAGTGAATTTGTACATAATACAATGTATTTGTATCATTGTATGTGACTAAATATCAAAAAAAAGAAGAAAGTTCGCTGGAGATGGTGTTTTCTGGCCAAGCAAAATATTGTATACATTTTATTAAAACTAAAAATGGAGACGAACAAAAACCCCGGCCCTCAAATCTTCTTTGGCGTAAAAAAAATATTACAGTATCCGTGTAGAGGAATCCATTGCAATATCCGGCGTAGACGAAAGCCGCAGTCTCTTTCTTTCTAATATTGCAGTACAAATCCATTGCAAATATCCGAAATAGAAACTAAGCAGCACAAATCCATTGCAATATCCAGCGTAGAAACTAAGCAGGTATTTTGCTCGAAGATAGAGAGAAAGAAGAAAATTTTTGTTGGGATTTTAAGAGAGAATTGTGTGTTAATTGAAAGAAAGAGAGAGAAAAAACATAAATAGCGTATTTCACGGCTCAATTATAGGATATACCATAAATACCTATTTTGCTATAAAACATAAAAAGTAGCTATAGAAAAATATTTTAAAATAATTTTGGTTTATAATAAATAGGGTGTATACATTTGCTATAGGAGGTAAAATTTCTTATTAATAAAGGCTAATAAGAAATAAAAATAGTAAAATCATGTCCAAATATAAAGTGTTATGACAGTAACTTAGTAACTAGTATTAAATATACAAGATAATATCTAATGGGCAGGGTGTGGACTTATTACTATTGACATATGGATAATATATTAAATATAAAATATAAGAATTTTGAATTTTTGGATATTCAAAAATCCGAAATACCAAATCCAACATCCAATCTGAAATCCAAAATTTTTATAAATTAAATCCGAAATCCAACCCAAAAATTCAAAAAGTAAATAAATCAAATTTCGATTTGAATTCCGGGTTTGCCCAATCTATAACCACCCCTACTTAAGTCCTTAAAAGTGGCCAATTTACCACCACCTAGTGTTTAATGTAACTTCACTTTTGACAGTTGAGGAACTTTTCTCTATAACAGGAAAGAAAAAGAGAGATCGTGTAAAACAATTCCAAAAGCTAAAGTTTGATTGGACCTCAAAGGCAGTTTAACGTCAACATTGAGCATTTTAGTGTTGTATCATATTTGAGCGAGTAGACAAGTTATAACTAGAAACCATATCTAGTAAGTATTAGTAAAGGAGGGAATATGAGATACATGGTTATTCGAGTGGGACAAAGTTATTGAAATGCTTAGGAATAATTCCAATAGTTAATTATTAAATTAGTGGAGGTTACAAGGTCAATAAATGTATTCGGAACATATCTAGTTTCTATGTTAGAAGGGCCGAAATTATGAGAACTCAATGGTATGTATCTAACTTTGAAGAATTGGAATTAAATTAGAAAACATGGATTTTAAAATCCTAGCCTCTTGCCGGCAACAAAAGGAGATTTAGAAAAGTAGAAAGGTTGTTTGCTAACAAAGGGACAAAGAGGACAAAGGAAATAATTATTAAAGACAAAAGCAACATGTAAAGTTGGGGAATGGAATAAATAAAGTTGAACACCAAAATGTTATTTAAGTGATGGACGCTGCACTTGATGCGTCGCAACTCCATCGCGTCCGAAATAAGTTGGAACCCAGTATGAGGCAATGAACTTATCCCATAGCGCCAGAGTTGGCGTCCGCTCAGGTTGAAGGAGCTGGGACGCATACGACGCGTCCCATGCGGCATCCGAATTTTGAAGCCTTTTAAAGACAAATACGGGAGTAGATTGATCTTTTATTTTGGGGCTTTGTTTTTGAAGACTTAGAGAGAGAGGAAATATCTCTACCATTAATACACCTCCAAGGTAAGAATTTAATTCTTTCTTGTTAGATTTAGTTCATTAATTTAATCTCTTGACTCTTCACCTACATGAAAATTATAGATTTTTGAAAAAAATCTCAAAAACACTTCAAGAACTCAAATCTTGAAAATTCTAGGGTTTAACAAAGAGGTAATCCCTTCACTCTAAACTTGGGTATTATACTCCATGGACATAATAGAGTATATTTATAAAGTTAGATTTATATTTAAATATGTATTCATAAAATCCCTAGAAGCTAGTCTTGAAATTGAAAAGTTGGTTGGTAGGGATGATGAATAGTGTTGGGTCTTATTTGAATGATGTTATTTTGGATTTCTAGTGGAAAAACTAGATCCCATAACAAGTGTAACGAATGAATTGGAGTTAAAAATTCAAGGATTTGACCTTCAAATGATGAAATGAGGATTTTTGCTAAACTTATGAAATTTGGACTTAAGTGTTAAGCACTTAGTTGGCTCGGTTGGTATTGTTGTAATACGTTATTAATTTATGTGAGTCTTTATATGTAGATTGTTACTCGCCGGCATTATTGGATCATTTGGGGTAAGGTTGGAAGCAATTTGAGGTACGTTGAAACTTATTACTCTCGGAGCTTTTCTCCAAACTCATATCGAAATACGATTTAATTGAGTTTCTAAATGTGAGTCCTAGCTTGTGCGGACGAGGAGTTGGGATTGTACCATTTCTTGCATCATAAAAAATTTAAGTGCTATGAATATTATTTTCTTGAAATGTTATTCAAATATTTAAAACTAAATAAGGAATAACACTTGTAGTATTTTTGAAATGAAAATACATGAGTTGTGAAATATTTTGGATTTAACTATTCTCAATTAGTTGATTTGGCTATGAACATTGTCATTGATAAATATAAAGGTTTTGGGAGTTACTTAAGTTCACCGAGATTGGCCTTAGATACTTTTTCTCATTATGTCATGAAACTACACGTGCCGGTGTAGGCGTAGAACCTACCTTACGGTTGGGAACTATGACAGAATACTTCCCATTAGGGGGTACTATTGTGCTACTTTATTAGCACGACTGAGTCGATTCGTGCGGCACAACTATGAGACGACCTGAGCAAGTAGGGTATATGATACTTGCCGCTAGGTACATAACCTAGTTGACCTTCTTTCGTGTCGGTGATGGTATAGTGCTCCTGGTAAATGAAAAATGTAACATAATTTGCAAAGATTAATGCTAAAGGAAGATTTCAAAATATGTTTTACCATACTATTTTATTTTATTTTCTAAATTGTTAATTTATATGAAGGCCTCTTTCTATATATATTGTTATTACATATCTTATATCTTCTTAAGTCTTCTCTTATTTTCTCTTGGGGAACGTTTCATGATTCGTACTAGGCATGTGGAGCTTAGGCCTTTTGGTCACATTTCCATTTCTATTTTCAGGGACTGGACCTGAGAAGCTTGGACCGCGTGGTTAGGACAGCTCTACATTTTCTGTTGACGCTTTTGGTTAGACTCCACACTCGTACCCGTGGAGAACTTTATTATATTATTATCCATTGAGCCAACGGGTTATGCCTTGGTTGGCTATTTCATTCTGTGTCATAGAGATTTCATAGACAATAATAGTATTAATTTTGGGTTGTAACCCTATGGTTACTAATATGGCATGCATGAATAAAACTTTCTTTTATATTTATGAAGCTCTCTTTCAAAGAAAAATATTTACTTAAAGATATTACTCATGTCTTGTTCTATATCTTAAAATGATTGTACTTGAAGAGGCCTTCGTATCCTCCTGTTAGGCA